GTGTGTGTGTGTGTGACCCTAAAGTATATTTACGTGTGTGGCTATGTGTGCTCATTAAGTGGAAAAGCGCGCTGAGCCATCCACCACACATTTTAAAAATTTAATTTATTTTTAAGTTATTTTTTCCTCTACCATATGAGCAGTAGTTCTGCTTGTTGTCGGTGCCTTTTGTCGTCTTTTGTAGAATTCCGGCTAAAAATTCAGAGCATGGTTCGTCGTTTTTGCTGTGAATGGAAACGTTTGTTATCGTCTAGATACTCTTTGGTATCTTTAAGCTAAGAAATGTGCAAAAATCAGATGCATGCCGCAATGCAAAACATATTACTAATTGACCGCGAATTCTGCTTTTGTGGCTTGTGGCATGGTATGGGAGAGTGCCAACGAAAGCTGAAAGTGATACGAAAACTTATAGCCACCAAGTGTGTGCCAATTGAAGTGCGTTTGTGGTTCGCAAAACAAAAGTAAAAGCGGAACTAAACACAAAGTCAAGCAATAAAAGTGCTCTGATAGTGATTGAAAATATAAACAAATAGAGGTTTTTAAAAATAATTCTGAAAAATGTAACAAAAATCCGCGCCCGATTATATTGAAAACAAATTTGTATAGTAATTAAGAAAAAGTACAAAAAAAATTAATATATAAGATCGTGCAATTAAAACTCACATCTGAACAGAATAATTGGAAAATAAGCGATTATTTTACAAAACTTAAATTTTGCAATAGGATATCCAAATCAAATAAAAATATAAAATAAATGCCCGAAATCTTTCTTAAATTATGAAAATTGCCATTAAAGTACTGCCAAAGACAAATCGACCTACTTCTTTGGTAGCTTTTTGTAAAAACATGTGCATTTTGTCTTGGAAATTAGGAAAACATGTTAAAGAATGTAAAGTACAAATGTATTTTCTTTAAACTACAGACAATTTTGTAAAGTTTTAAATAATTTTGGGACTTGAGCTTTATGGGTTTGAAAGTCAAATTTTTGCTTTAAAAACTAAAAATATCCATCTGGGTAAATAATACTGAACAAGAATAGATGATGTGTTCGTTTTATAAACTTGAGAAAATAATTTTGTAAAAATTTGTAAATTAAGAAACGCATTTTATTAAAATACAAGATTTCTCTTTAATTTGGGAGCGGTCTTTTTTATAGTGATATTTCCTAAAATCTAGAAAATATTTGTACAATTAAGTTGAGTTTTTGAAAAAGAAAACTTTTACTTAAAGCAAAAAGTGCACCCACTTTTTATCTGATCAGCTATTTCTTTTCAAGACAAACACTTTTAATATCGTATTACTTATAGCATTTAGTTTAAAAGTTCAAATCAATAGAAAACATTAGAGAAAGACATAGTGAAACAAATAAAGTTGGCTTTTAAATCTACTTTACTAAAAGTTGTCTTTTTTATTCAAATATGATTAAAATAAATTGCGATTCCATCCGTCAAATATTATTTTTGCAAAGTAAAGCAGAGCGTGATGATTGAAAAGTTTTGAACGAATTTTCTTGTCCATGCAATTCCTATATCTATGTATGATTAATGTTTGTAAAAGATATTAGCTTGGTTTTCAAATTCAATGATTGTTGTTAAATGCAATATAAATGAAATAATGCAATTGTTATCAAAGGCAATGCTTTTAATTTTATAATTACATTTAGATACATGGAGGGCAATCTAGAATCTTCCTTCAAATGCCACTCTATTAATAAGCTCTATATACTTACATACTTAACTCTTTTAAAGACTGACTTATTCAAGACAATTGAGGAAACAAGCTTGATTTATGAACTTTTAATATGGACTATAAATTTGTAACACACCTTACACTACTTCCTAAAATCTAACAAATCTCGAAAATCGATAGCCAGCTGCCTGTAACTCCCCACCCACCTTTATGCTCCAGAAGTAATATCGATTGAGATGCATTTATGTAAATACAGCGTGGGTAGTAACGCCTACCAATTTCTTTTCCTAAATGGTTGCAGTCACAACATTTTGCTTATCAAATCGAATTTCGAATTCGGACTACTAAAGAGCGCCGAGTTTTGTCTTGTGCCACTAATTTTAATTACCATAAAATAAACTGACTCAGAGGCTGGCAGCATGCAGAGGAAAGGTGAAATTTTCTATAAATGTAAATGCATTTATGAATTCTTATGTAAATGCACTCTACGGATAGCCAGCTAGCTGTCTGGCAGGCGTCTGTCGTAAAACTTGCCCTCAACGTTATGACGATTGTCGCTTTTGGCGCATGTCGTCTGCCATTTCAGAATTGTATGTATTTTGACGGCATGGGCTATAAAAATAATAATGACAAGCGCTTGCCGGCAATTCAGTTGGTATTTTCATAAGAAATTAACAAGCAAAATTAGCTGCAGTCTTAGACTTGGTTAGTTAGTCTTACTGGTAGGTACATAAGCGGCGAGCAGGCTAACAAGACGCCAGCGTCCTCCTCCGGCACCTCCTGAAACGTGCCCTGTGGCAGCAATTGACCCCATGATTTGCTTTGGCAACGTCGATTCTTCTGCTGTTGTTGTTCTTGTTGTTGTTGTTGTTCGTGCAACATTTTCCTTGCGACGATGACGACGACGACGCGACGATGACTGCAACTTTGGCGGCTGTGCTGCTTATTTTTAGATGCTGAAGCGTAAATAATTCATTTTCCAGTCACAGTTGTTGACGTTCGTCGCACAAAACGCAAAGTGACGTGCAACAGCAACAACAGCAACAACAACAACAACCAAGAAAAATAATAGAGTGTAGAATGTGCAGCCTCTTCCTGGGGCCTCTTTTTGATTTCTCCCAGGGGGAAGCGCGCGCGTCGCTGTTGATTTGCATCTAAACTTGAAAGTGTTTCTGCGCCCTATTTGGTGGCCTTTTGATATTTTATTTTTACACTCGACGCTCAGCACCGCTCCGCTCCTTAATAAACAGCCAAGGCTGTGGCTCGACAGCTCGCCAGCCTCTGTCAAGATGTCCGTCTGTCTGTCTGTCTGTCTTTCTCTGTGTCTGTATCTTTCCTTTACTTTGCGCCTTTCATAAATGCTCGCTAACGGTGCTTTATTGAACTTTGACTGCAATTTCATTGCGAAATCTTTTACAGCCTCTCACATTGAACTAGAAACCACTTCAAGCAATTTGTTGCTGTACTTGCATACATACATACATACATACTTTTCTCATTTATTTTAAAGTCCACAAAAAATTCAAAACAAAAAAAAACAAAACAACAAGAATTTCTCATATACAAGTATTGCAGCTTAAGCTCCGTGGCATGCCACTTAAGTTGCTTTTTATGGGCGTTTTACTTGGCCCAAAATACAATAAATTTTACTCAGCAGCTGGTGCGGTAGCCGCTGAGGAACTGAAGTACCTCCGAGAACGCCACTCGACGTCACCGACGACGCCGTCGAAGTCGAGTCGTAGTCGGAGTCGAAATGTATGTGGATGTGGATGTGGCAGAGGAAGCGGGCCAAGCAATGCGAAATGCGCTGCAACTCAATTAAGTGTCCATAAAGTATCTAGATACGCTAATCAATGATATATGTATGTATGTGCTCTGTCGCTTGAGTTACAAATGGTTGTGTGTAGGGTTCGAGGCGGCATAAAAAAAGAAGGAATTACTTTAGGCAAAACGGTTTCTGTTTTACAATCGTCTATGCAATTTTAATACCCTTTCAATTAAATCTTTTATGGCACACTTTTTGTTCAACTTGCAGGGAAATCAATTTTTCAAAATCCTAATGATTTGCATGTGAACTTTTAATGCCTTCAGGAGTTGTGGATACATTTTGATAGATGCACACAAAGGCTGAAAAATGAATGAACGTTTTTCAAATGAAGACTTATATGTATATACGGGATATTTCTCAAATATAAGATAAAAAGTTAGCTTAAATACTTTCAATTTCAGGCCACTAAAATCCTCGTTGATAATCAAATAATTGGACAAGCCAGACTTCAGATCTAGTGAAGATTTGTGAACTAAGTTTAGCCTTTGGAAAGAGTATTCTAAATTCAATGCTTAAAAGAAACAGTTTTGCCACTTTTTGCATTTCATTCAAGCAATTATGTATATCGCTTTTTATCAAAGAGATCTTTAAACAATCTAATATTTAAGTATTTAAGTTGAACATTTCAATTATTTATTTAATTATTTATTTATTTTATAAATCGGTTTAAATCAACAATAATTCAAAGTTGAAAATCCCGTAAAATTACTGTGCAAATTGAATAACGAAAAGAAAAGAAACATACAAAACACTTTAAAAGCAATTTAAAAATGAAAATATTTTAAAAATAGACAAACGAAATACAGTAAAAAAGTAAATAAACAAACAATAAATTCTAAACCATTAATATTTTAAACAACAAATTTGAAAATCATTCTCGAAAAATATCGAAATAATTTATGACCAAATAAATTTAAAATATAACTACACGTACGAATCAATAATTTTACACTTTTATTGAAATTATAAATAAACAAAATAAAATAAAATCTTTCTAGAAAAGCAAATCCAAGTTCTAAAAAAAACAGTGAAACAATTTTTATTGAAAATGGAGACGCAATTAAAGAAAATTGTTTCAGAAATAAAAATAAACGCATAAATAACGAAAAGTGTTAGCATAGAGTCTAATTATATCAAACAAATTTCTTCGATTTTGCAGTGCAGCAGTGAGAAAAAGTTCAGTGTAAAAACTTCAATCAAAATTGAGACGCAATTAAACAAAAAGCTGTGTCTGTGTCCGTGTTTGTGTGGCAAGTGCCAGACCAGTGCGTGTGCCATATAGAGTAGAAGATACAGATTTACATATGATGCCTATATAGCGAGTCGAAATCAACGACAACTCACACGCAAGAGCACCTTCGAAGTCGAAAGTGGGAACGGCCGGATCGGTCGTTCCGTAACTGGCAGGGCCGGGACCAGAGCCAGACGACAGACAACAGAGAGGCAGTCCCCGTCCCCCCCCAATGCAAACGCATGAGTTCTGTCAACGAAATGACAAGCAGCATCTGTCTATGTAGCCATAGCCATAGCTGTAGCTATAGTCCCAACCCAAGTCGAGGACGTGCTGCTGTGCGTTGCTATTTTTATGATCGCACTCGCTAAGGAGGCAAACACGGGAGGCAGAGGCAACAGCAACAGCAACAACAACAACAACAACTGGTGGTGCAGACGGATGCGTGGCCCCATGAAAAATCAATTAACACGCAGAATTATTAAAAACGACGAAAAACGAAAGAAACGAACTCTCGGCACTTGAAGTGCTCTGTAATTTTATAAGCAACCAATTGCCGCGCACTTCAAAAGCAGCAGCAGCAGCAGCGGCAGCAACATCCTCACAACAACATCCTCAGCAGCAACATGAAAATGTCGCCTCTTTGCGGATTAGGTTTTATGCTCGCTTTGCTGCAATTGCTGCACGGCAGCCTCTCCATGAAAGGTAAGTGCAATGCAGTTAATTAAACGTTAGACGTCAGAGTCAGTCACCAAACATGCACAGCAGCAGCTCTGCAAGAGAAATAGAACCTAATACCGCGCATAAGCATACGATTTATCTGCCAAATGATCAACGCACGATTTATGCTCATTACAAATATGGCCAACCACGAATTGGCGCACAGTGGCTGCCACGACAGAGCCACACATTTTCTGCTCAAATTGCCTGTGGAAGAAGCGACAGTCAGACAGTCAGACAGACAGACTTAAAGACATACTGAGTTACACCGACATGGACTATGTTCAAGCAGAATTTACTTGGCTGCCAACAACAAAAATACAAGCACAATAAATAAAAGTCAAAATAAAAAGTTGCAAATGCGTTGGCATGGCGTTATTTTTTACAGTGCACATACAGTTTCAAAGCCACATTTTTGGTCTGTGCTTTAAAAATGCAGGAAAATATATAGTACTCTTGAGATGACACATTTGATAAACCGATCTAATAGGGCGCACCCCTAACTCCCATACATTTAAGCTCAAATGCAAAACTAATTTATTTTGTTTATATGTTATGTAAGTATAACAAGACATTTAATTAAAGAACATTCAATTAAAAATAAAAAACACTATGATTATTAGTATTCAAAACTATTAAAAAAAAAAACAGATTCAAAGCTATATTCAAATCTTTGCTGATTTAAACAGATAAGATTTTTAAGCTTTTAACAAATACAGAAAAGCAAAAGTATTTAAAGTTCTTAGGGAGCAGTGATATTGAAACTACATAGTATTTAAAGCAAATCTATTTATGATAACATTTTGATTTGAAGAGCAGTATAAACTCATTTATAGCTTATTGATTATTATTATTACATTTTTAAGTGAAAATGCTTAACATATTAGTTCAATGTCTGAAAACCTTTTTCTAGCCATTTACTCCTATTTACAGTACAACTAAATTCATCGCTTCTTTTAGTAAGAAAAAGGGAGAATTGGATAATTTTATTCAATCTTTAAATGCTATCCACAGTGATTATTTTTATTATATTTTTAAGTGACAATGCTTAACGAATTATAGTAGTCCAATGTCTGAAAACCTTTTTCAAGTCATAGGAAATTTATAAAAAAAAAGACAAAATATTTGGGCGCAAATAGTACTCTTATTTAATGAAATTAGTTCATCACTTCTTTTAGTAGAGAGAATTTCATAATTCTTGGAGAATTTTATTCAAACTTCTTTAAAGCCCTTCTTCATCCAAACTTTGAATGCAGCATATGAAGTTTCTTGATTTTATGTTACCTGACTGTTTCCTGCATGGTATTATAGTTGTACATATTTCCAATTAGAGAAAATACTTCCTTTCCATCGTTGCACTTTTTAAGAATTTGTTTTCATTTGTCGCACATTTTTTGAAGTCAAATCATCAATCTTAGCTATCGAGTTGCAGATAACATGGTTTTAATTACACGATGGACGAGTAAAAGATATGCAGAGACGGGAAAAGGAGGAAAATCCTAGAGCGCCTTCCTGGTAATTGTTCTGCACTCATGAAGGCATCGCAATGGCCCTAAGGCAGCCATCTCCACCTAACCTAAGTTAGCTTTTTCGCCTCTTGGAAGCCATTGATATGCATTCCAGGGTATATTATTGTTATTTCCCCAACACTCCAGTTATAGCTGCCCAAAAGTGAACGGCGTTCCGCACAACAAATGCTGACACACTTAAACATTATCTTCATTGCCGACCACAATTGCCCGAACGAACCCCACAACTCTGGATGCCTTTCAGACCTCTCCGTTTAGTGTTAAATTTTCTCTACAACGTAACCACAACTCTCTCGCTCTGTTACCCATAAAATGCCACTTAACTGCAATGCGCCGCCGCAGCGTACTTAACGCATTTTTCACGCTTGACATTTGACTGGAGGCGCACTTTTGCCGTCTTCCTCTGCGATTTCGTTGTGGCTCCTCACTGGCCGCCATTTATTTGCTGCCAACCACACCACACCAACACACTGACGACCACATCTATATATCGTATATACACGTACGCGTGTGCTCTTAATTTTCTACAATATATATATCTGTATATATACCGACTTTTGGGTTGCTTGGCGCTCTTGGCGCGAATTGTGATTTCGAATGTATTTTTAGTTGGCACGTGACGTCACTTGTGGACGCTGGCGTGAATCATCGCGAATTTTCACTTTTTGCCACATTTATTTTTTAGCTTTTCATTTGTTTTTAGAACAACAAATAATGGGACTGTTGCCAAAAATGTATCTTTGTGTTCGTCTCTCTAGATACAATTGTATCTGAGTTGGTTTCTGTTCTTTTTCTTGCGCCATGTGCGCGTCTTTGTTGCTGCCTCTTCTCTCGATTATTCATTATTTTTTCAATATAAATTTCAACACATATGCTGCCTGACTGCACCCGAGTCGTGCAGAGTCGCCTGCATTTAAATAAATGCATTTTGGCGACGATATCGTCTGATTCTTTGACAACTATTGTCGCCATGGACATAAATGTCGCCAACGCCGACGCTACCGGAATTAAGTCATGGGAAAATTTATCTTTATAACTTTTCGATGGGTCTTGATATGCAGAAGGGGGAGAAAAGTACTTGTAATTGAATTTTATGCGACCCCGGAGTCTAATTAGGGGCGCCTGAATGTTTTCAAGATGTCTTTAGTGGCGGGCAATAAAAAAAATTTGTAAATGGGGAAGAGCTAAAAAATTAGGTTGCATGGGCGAAAACAAATTAAAATGATCTCTCGGATTGTCGCATAAGTTGTTGGTAGACACTTATCTTGCATTGAAGATTAAAAATATTTCTCCTATTCATTTAAGTACGTAATGAATTTGGGAAGAAGTGCAACATGCGCTTTAATTATCTGTGAGCGCATCATTTCAGGGAGACTTTCCTATCCAATTTATCTTATTAGTTCAATTATTTCTCCCAATTTTCGCTCCTAATTAAAAGAAAACGCAATACAATAAACACTTCATTACGTTGTTTTAATGAGTGCTTTAAACGGATCAGTTTCCAAAACTCTATGAAAGTTGTAGTCTCGGCAGACTGTAGAAAAGAACTACTGAATGAAAATAATAGAAATTGAAATATAGAATAGTTCTAAAACAGGATTTGAATTTGTTTAGTAAATTTTGATGAGCATTTATTGCACATATGTATTTAATAAAGTCCACCATTTAATATTTATTTTTATCATAAATAATTCGAAACCAACACAAGGTTAACTGTTCGTGCTCCACGCCCAAGCACAGACTATAAATCCGTCACAGACATATGTATATATAGATTTCTAAATTAGACTTCGGCAATTGAACAAACGACACGTTTTAGGATCACAAATCACACAAAAAACGCCAATAAAGTGTCACATTATTAGGTAAATTAACTAAGAAAAATATCATAAAATTATAAATGGCCAATGTCGTGAAAAATTTTAATTGATAGCCAAACATGAAATATAAAACACTCGCACACGAGCCAGCTAAACATCTATGGCTGATGTTGTCGGCGTCGGGCAAGTTGGAAACCCAAAGCCCGTCCTCTGCCATATGAAAGCAAATGCATAACACATAAAACAAAATATCGTTTGACTAAACAAAATGCGATGCGATAGAGGGGACATACAAGTATAACTCAAATAAAATAAACATTGCCAATAACATAAATTTACGCTGGCCAAGGCAACAGCCCCAACCGCGTCGGTGGCACCGAATGTTGCAGTTGCAGTTGCAGTTGCCGTGGCTATGGCTATGGCTATGGTTGTGGCAGTTGCAGTCGCGCGCGGCATAAAATATAAACATAAATTTAGCATTTTTGTGTGGCACGGGGAATGTGTACACAGAAAAAAACATTTCTACTAGCTGCAAAAGAAATGAATGGCAAGCAGTTTCTGAACAACCGCCAAACATATAAGTAAATAAAAACCCTTGAAATTCTGGAAATTTAACATTTCCCTTTATATTTATTATATATAGTACATACTTAGAAATGAGGAAAAAAAATGCTGCATATTTCTTGTTTCTATTTAGCACTTCAAATTTGTTAATTGATTGTTGCTGTTTCTTTTTTGAAAAGTTCAATTAAATTTAGAATTTTATGGAAACAGACAGCGCTCTGCCAAGGCAATTACATAGTGGAGAGAGCTTCGACCCAAAAAAAACTATAAGCTTACCTATTCTCTGACAATCTAGTTATGCAATAAAAGTTCCACATAGTAACAAATGATCGACACAGCCTAAGCCGGAATAGGTAATTGTTTCGTCTGTTGAGAGAATAAGGACACTTTTAACTAACAACAAGAATTGAAGGCACTTTAATACCATTGGTTGACAAATTATTTCTATCTTTAGTAATTTTATTAATAAGCTACTATAAATTTCAAATGGATTGCCTAATAAGCCATAAGTTACTGAACTTGGCAGAATTTCTTTTAAAAAATAACTGGAATTTTCTATTTGGTGGCTATAGCTCTTACAGTTTTAGAGATTCGTGTGTTCCTGCAGAAACAACAGCGTTTCTTGACTGCAAGCTTTAATAAGCCCGTCTACTATCTACCCGGAAACCTTAAATATGTACTTAAAAAAAAAAAAATTCTGCCATCAACTTCACTTCTATTTCTTGCCCAAGTTCGTATTGATTGTTTTATTTAAAAAAATATTGTTTATACTTAGTGTGCAAGCTTTTGAGACTTGTATGAAAATAAATAAACTTTATTGCTATAAAAATCAGATTTCATAGAATTATACTAATATTTTTGTGAGTGTAGCGTACAGCTTCGCTGTCACTTACCGCCTGGGCACTTGCTACGCATCTGTTGCCATAATTCTTGTTACGGGTCTAGGAAAGTTATGGAGTAAGTCCAAGGTGGCGTTGGCGTTGCTTGCATGAGCGATGACGTCTCATTTGTTTTTGGTTTTCCTCTTTTTATTTGGCTTTCATTCTGGGATATTTTTTTAAAGGCAGCAAAATTATGGTCGACATTCGAAATGCAGCCATCAACGCCGAATGCAACATTTTGTTTATGCAAATTGCATTTTACATACATATTTATAGCGCGATGTGGCTTCCTCAAAATGGACGCCCAATGGGTTTGTTTATTCAGCCCGCCCGCGCATTTTGTTTTGCTTAAAGGCACACAAGAAGAGCGGCACGATCGTCAACACCACCACCACTAACAACAACAACAACAACTACAACAACAACTAGGTCAAGACATTTGTATCACTTGGGAAAGTGTTTTGGGCTCGCTGGCTTTTAAGGTTTTCCGCCTTGACGCCTGATTGCTGCTAATTGGCGTCAAAATGCCACAATCAACGCCGACGCTGAGCACCAACGATCTTTTTGCCGTTGCCGTTGTTGTTGTTGTTGTTGTTGCTGGTGATGCTGCTGCTGCCTGTTTCTCATTTTTCCATGTGGTCCATTGTTTATCTATGTCGTCTGTTGCCTGTCTGTTATGCGAGGCATCTGTGCGCAACTGTTTTGTGTTTGGATTTGCTTTTTCAAAAAGAGTTTCAACCCAATTGGGTTAGGTCAATACTCTTCGAATTTGGAAGTGAAGTTGCGAATGATTACAAAACGAGTGAAAAGTGGGAAAATGGGGGACGTCTGAAATACTTGTACATCGATAAGCTAGAGATCAGTTGTAGTTTGTGGCTTATTCAATACTGTAGCTTGTTAAAAGCCTAGCATTGATTGTAAAGATTTTCTGTGCCTACGTATGTTTGGCTACTTGTTCCGAAACTTGTTATGGCGAGTTATATATTCAATAATATACTATATATATTCTTTGGTATCCAGGAAGTCCTTTCAATGGTCGTACTAACTTAGTAGTATAACTTAACAAACACATAAGCACCAGCCGCATGTAATAAATAAATTTCAGTAAAAAATTCCAAGAATTACTGGAGCTATAGAACATTTATTTTGGGAGAGTGGGGTGAAGGAGGAAAATTTTGAAACCCACTTGCACTGCGTACAAATATAAGGCATCTATGGGAAAAATTGTGTGTCTCTAGCTCTTATCTAAGTCTAGGTATTTGTACGAACAATTATTTATAAATAAGTACAAGAAAATTTAAGATTTTTTGTATTTGCAGAGTGTTTTTATTTAAAACTGTCCATCGTGGACTATCTTTAAATTGGTTAAATAAACTTGACAATGAATTTATTTCATTTATGATGAGTTGTATCTGGCTAAGAGAATTTGAGATGTTAGATAGTTTTGTTTCGATATGTATGTCTGAGCTAAAATACAAAAGCATGGTCGTGGTTCTAAGTAATTGAGTGAAACTTTCCAAGATTATTTCAATATCGTTTTTATTTTTCTGAAGCTCTTCTGTGCTTCTATTTCTAAGCTAATCATCTAGAAAATAAACTGAAATACACAGATAGAAATACTGTTTAATTGAATTGTGTAACTGTGTCTCTTTTATTTCTTTCAGATTAAAAAAAAGTTACAGACTTCCACAGAATTTCTTTTGCTAGCAATTTTTAAATCAATTTTTCGCATATACTCGTAATTTATTTATGCATTTATTTATATTCTATAAGTATGAACAACTTTTCTAAAACAGATTTAAAGTGAACGAAAATACCCATGAGATGTGCATCAAATATTTTTCACCTTTCACCCGCCACGCATGCCACACATACCCGTACTATATAGTATAGTATATGCCTCGCCTCGAAGTTGACAAAAAGCGGCAGCAATTTGTTTGCTGATAGAACATACTCGGAATGTTTTTAAGTAATTTATACCTCCCACTGGCGTGCTAAGTTAAAAACGCTTGTACTAAAATGTTAAGTAATCCCCAGGCTGTCAGCACGGAAACCTTGTCGCCGGACTGACAAATTTATATTTAATAGAATATATTGTTGCACAAGCAACAAGAGATAAAAATGCGTGTATATTAAACAACATAAATCATGCGATTGCCAGGGGAGATGGGAAGAAAGAAGCAAAGTAGACTGATTGCCTAAGGAGGGCAAAAGAAATTAGCAAGCGGCCGCGATCACACAGCTAATTAAGCAAATCAAGTATATAGCAGATGGATAGATAGATAGATGAAAGATGGATAGATGACGGGTTAGACATTGACTGACAAACGCAAGAATCTACGCTTGGACAGAATGACAGCTGACTGAATAAATTTGTGGCTAGATTGGCAATCAAATGGTTGCAGCAATTAAAGCAACGTCTGTTGCAATATATCTGACGATCTGAGCTCAATTTAAATTGTTTTTCCTTTTTTGTTTTTCGTTCTCTTCCCACACATGCGTTACAGTCTCGTTCTTTGGCGATGGTTACGTATCGATGCCGCTCCAGGAGGCCAAAATGTCAACGAACATAAGAGTCAAGTTTCGCACCAAGCAGGAAAATGCATTTCTCTTTCTGGCCGCTGGACGCACGGACTACTGCCTGCTGCGCTTGGAGAGCGGCATCATCCATTTCAGCTATAAAATTGACCAGGATACGTTAACCGTATGTTGCCAAACTGGCCCAAAATTGGTTTTCCATTCACGCATACATATACATATATGTACATCCCTCTTTACAGATGCTTTCCCCCAAGAAGCAGAAACTCAACGACTTGGAATGGCACGATGTGGCCGTCCAGCGTTTCGAGAATAACATAACACTACAGGTGGATGGAAACATTATGCGCAAGACACTGGCCATCGAAATGGCGGCGTTAAATGTGCATTTTGGCACCTTTCTTGGCGGCGTTGGCGATTTTCCAGCCGAGTATTTGAGTGATGTAATTGGCTTTCGTGGCTGCATATCCGATGTGAGTAGCATACCCAAATGTGGCCAAAACCCATTCGAAAGTATTTTATGGCAATTATACAAAGCAATGTATTTTCTTTTGAAGCGAATATTGGTTGGCTTTCGAAGAATGTAACGCCAGCATTAGTACCCCATCTTTTTAATGCTTCCTTTTAACCTAATTGGAGCTAAGAATGTAAAAGTTATTTTAAATGACAGAAATATGATGCAAACGAGGAAAATATGGTCATGGAACCAGTCCTATTTTGCATTTATTTGCAATTTTTGTTACAAAAATATTGAAAATCTTAAGCTTCTGTTTCAAAGAGCTTTTTTTTATCATTTTAACCTTTTAACATTTATGAACTTTTTAAATTTATTTATGAAAACTCTCACACAGTGAATTTAGTGGATCTTCAAAAATGACAGCAGATTTTATGCATTTAACATTTCTTACGTTTCATGTTTGCCTTTTATTAAAGTTTTCAATGTTTTATAGCCAAATATAACTGCTGCCACAAGAACAAGGAACTTTTTTTGATAGTTTTAATAGCTTTAATCTCTATTTTACCTCACTTGTGTGTTGAATTTTGCAAGCTCTCATATCAGTCAACACTCTTGCCAACAAAAGCAGCCAAAGTTGCCCAAATCGCAGTTCTCATTTATTCATTAGTTAGAAGTATATATGAAGCATTTCAGTAAAGACTTAAATATTGGAAATTGCAATTTTGGGAAAATTAGACTATACGTGTAAGAATGAGCTTAGTTTTTACATTATATTACTCAAGTAATCGTCAATTTCTGTAGGTTCCAAGCGCCTAAAACCTCTTTCATCGCACACTCCAACTTCAATATTGTCGCAATCAATTTTCCCCTGAAATCCCTCTTTGAGTGCCAAAATAGCGGTGTGCACAGCATCTGGTAGTTCCATTTCTGGGCTAAAGCGCTTCTCCAAAAATATTTTGCCCCTCTCTGCATTCTTGCCGAGAGCCGAGGCCTGCCAAGCAAACGAAGCGCTTGTGGGATCCACCTGGTAGAGATGCGGCCTATCAAAGTCCCACCCGCAAATCAGCATAGAAGCACCAAAGGGACGTACACCTCCCGACTGAGTGTATTCCTGCATTAGATCGACCATGCGCTGAACAAGTTGTTCGGTTGAAATGGCCTCCTTATAGGTGAGATAGTACTTTGTGGCCATTTTACGAGCGTGCTTAACCAGCATGCGATAGTCAGGACCCATGCCCGAGTACACCGATCCAATGTTGTTGCTTATTTTCTCCACACGATGTATGCTGTGCACCTCGACGAGTGGAGAGTTGAATTTGTGCTCTGTGGCAATCACAACGCCATTAGAGGCCACAATCCCAACGGAGGTGGCACCGTCAGCCACAGCGGCCATCGCGTATTCCATCTGGGCGAGGTTGCCAGCAGGACTGAAGGTCGTCAGCGAGAAGCTGTAACGTTCCCTCGACATTTTAGTGTATACGTGTATATGAGTTGAGGAAAAAACTAAAAATTATAAAATAAATATTGAAGTGACATAGAGAGAACACAACATTTGATTGAAAACTACGAGATGATTGATTGATTTATTGCTCTCAGAGGGCGGTTCTTCGTGGTTTCTCTGCTCTTGGATAATCATCCAAAAATCGTTGATTCGATGGCTGCTCCTGCACTGCCACTTACAGCTTAACATAGCCCCCAACAAGCTCAAACTGTTGTACAAACTGTTGTTTGTATAGTGAAAAAGTCTGTCAGTCTAGTGCATTCAAAGCTCTTATCTAGGTTCCCCTAGTTGGGTACGCACATCTCTTTATAACTATTCATCTTTTCTCCGCGCATTTACAATGTTATTAACGAAACTGTTTTGTCCATTCGCAGGTCTTTTATAATAACATTAACATCATCAAACGCGCCAAGGAGCGTACAAGCCATACGGCCAGCACTGGCGTAGCCTGGAGCTGCAGCAATGAGTTCGATGGTACCTTGCAGGACAGCATCAGCTTTCTCAACAATGATTCATTTGCCTTGATGCTCAAGGAGTCGCATGCAGCCGGCGAAACGTGAGTGGCTGATACTTATAAGAAGCGAAACCACAAGCGAAACTAAATTGTATTCGTATCCTCTAATTTGCAGTCTAACTCTACAATTTCGCACGATGGCCGAGTCGGGCATTATTTACTTCAATGGCGGCTATGACTTTGTGTTGCTCGAAATCGAGAATCAGCATCTGAAGTTCACCTTCAACAAGGCCGGCAGTCTGGTGCAGTTCATGACAAATGAGTCCGTCTCGGATGGCAAATGGCATCGCATCCATTTACGCTATGATGCCGCCATGGCCGAGCTAATGCTGGACGATGCGGCTGATCCCTATCACGGCACACACGCTAATGACACCAAGGCGCACATAAATCTCGAGAAGAGCATCTTCTTTGGCGGCGTGCAGGAGCAAATGCGCCGGCGGCTGATTAACAAGGGTCTGCGCATTAACGAACTCAGCTTCAAAGGCTGCATGCGCGGCCTGCAGGTGAATAGTTTACCATTGGGATTTGGAGAGATGAAAATCTCAAGGCACTTGGCACTCAACTGCCTATGGAAATATCCGTGTGTGGAGTACAGTCCGTGCCTGAAGAGTGGCGTTTGCAGTCAGTATGGTGTGGATGAGTTCATATGCTACTGTGATCAGTCCTATTGCATCAAGGCTGATTTCCAAGGACCCTTTAAGGTAGGATACAGCTTAAAGTGCACATTTTCTGGTAGAAAGAAATGCCTTTATTCCCTCTCTTAATTTTCTAGATATTCACCGAAACCAGTCCTGAGGTGGAGTTGCTTTACATAACGCCCATGCAGCTGATCGAAGGCGGCACTGCTTTTCTTTCGCCCCACTTCATAGACATCCTGCTCGATACGCGTCGCTATCCCAGTCTAAACGAAAACTCAATTGCCTTCCATGTCGTCCAGCAACCCAAGTATGGACAGCTTTTGCAATACTCTGCAGAGAAAACGAATTTCGTGCCTTGTCGCACCTTTAATTTGGCCGATCTGGCCACCGATAAACTCAAATATGTGCACAACGGCATGGAGAACTTCAACGATCATGCCACTCTCGATATGCAAATCTATGGTGACGCCCAAGTGCCGGAGAACTTGCTGGGCAAGCACCGATTTTTGTTGCATGCCAACATCACGCCCGTAAACGATCCTCCTCAACTGCAGCTGCACTCGCACAAGATCTTGCGTGTTATAGAGGGTATAGAGCGTATCTTGGATATGGATCTGTTTAATATTGATGATCCGGATAGTGCGGCTGAAGATCTAATCTACACCATACTTCCTTCGACCAAATCTCAGGAGGCCTACGGACGCTTCATGGTCAACGGCATACCGTCGATGACCTTTTCTCAGGCCGATGTCAATGTTGGCAAGGTGGCCTATCTATACAACTCGACGACTGCGGAGTCCTTCAGCTATCAGTTACAGCTGCATGTCTCGGATGGCATAGAGACCAGTGATACGGTCTATTTGCCCGTTTCGGTACATCCACTGGAGCTGCGTTTGGTTAACAATACAGGCCTCATAATGATACACAAGAGTTCGCTGCTCTTAACGCCGGCCAATCTATCGATTGGCACCAATGCCGTGGACGAGCACATAGACATTCGCTATGATGTGGTTAAGCCACCGCAATATGGTGCTCTGCAGCGACTGCGTCAGATTGATGGCTCTTGGGTGAATGTGGACTGGTTCAGCGATAGCCAAATGCTGTTGGGTCACATACGCTATTTGCACAACAGCGATTTCCCCTGGCAAGACGAATTTAAGGTGTGTATTATTAAGTGTACACTGTTTTCCACAATTGCTTACGATTGCGATTTCCCACCTTCACAGTTTATTGCTTCGTTCGGGTTTGTGACCACGCAAACATTTGACTTCCGCATCACTTTCACACGATTGCGTATAACAACCAGCAAGCCAGCTCTGGTGGCCATCAACGGATCGCGTGAGTTTCTGCTCACCAATGTCCTGCTGTCTTATGAGACTGTGCCCATTGGCAGCTTCCCACGCAGCATTATCTACAAGATTAGCAAACCGACCAAGTATGGTGGGATCTATGTGGAGGGTTCCCGCAAGGCGGCTAAGGAAATGGATTCGTTTACGCAGCAGGATATTGATAAGCGACGCATTCGGTATCGGACACACAACAGCTGCTACTCGAGCTTCAGCGATGAGCTGGAGTTCACGGTCTCTGTGGCCGAGTGTGATGATGTTGTGGGGAAACTAACCATACTCTACAGTCCACTGGAGGAGCTCACGAATAAGCTAACCTATCAGAAGCACGAAGTGCTGCAGGTACAGGAGGGAGAGCGGGCGCTGCTAACCAAGAACCATTTCGAGATACGTTTCAACATCTACGAGAGTCTGCAGTTTCATGTTGCCAATGCACCGGAGCATGGACTCGTCTGCATGTATGAGGAGCAGACGGGCGTGGCTACGCCCATCGTACAGTTTACGCTGGAGCAACTATTTCGCAACGACATCTTCTACTGCCATGATGATACAGAGTCGACGGACGATGGTTTCGAGCTGCTCATACTCTCGAATCCGGAGACAGATATGCAGTTCGTGGCCAAAATGCAGGTGCACATAAAGCTAGTAAACGATAACGAACCCTTTCGCACTGCAGAGCGCATCTTCCATGTGGTACGCAGCGGCATACGCACGTTAAACCCGGCCGTACTTCAATATCTCGATGCGGATGTGAATACCAATCACACAGACATCCACTATATACACGTCTCCAGCACCAATGGGGCCTTCTATAAATCAGGCCACTTTGTGGACAGCTTTAGTCAGGATGACATAAGCAATCGACGCATTATGTTCCAGCATAAGGGACCAGATGCGGGTACAGCCTCATTCATTGTCACCGATCACCAACATGAAGTAAACGGCTTGCTCGAAATTCGTGCCTCCGATCCCTTCGTCTCCATGCTGCCCACAAATGCGTCCATTGTCCAGGAAGGCAAGTATGTTGTATTGAAGAACAAGGACTTCATTTTGGAAACCAATTTGGATATGAAACTGGACGAAATCTACTATGAAGTGATTAAGCCACCCTCCTATGGCATACTCATGTATTTGGGCACACAACGAGGGAATGCGGAAAACAACGGCACTCTTAGCTACAAGGCTACTAACTTTACCTCCCTCAGCAATTTCACGCATTTAGATATTGAACGTGAACGATTGGTGTACTGGAACACAGAAATAGCATCTATGGATAAAGTGAGGTTAGTTTCTTCGAACTTACCTGAATGGAATTCGGCGTTCATTTAGAATATTTCATATTTACAGATATCGTGTGCACATAAAAAACATAACTACAGAGGGCGAGGTAATCTTTCGCATTTATCCCTCAGCCTATTGGGAGCCTCTGCAGGTGAAGAAAAATCAAACCCTTTATGTGGAGGAGTCTACAAGCGTGCTTATCTCACGCGATATTTTGGAGGTAAATAGAAAGATCAGCACTTCTTTTGCACAATTTAATTTCTTTTATTCTTAGGTTGTTCATCCGAACATCTCACCCGGGGACATAACATTCTTGGTCACTTCTTCGCCGCTGCACGGTTATCTGGAAATGCAATCCATGACCTTTGATGATGAATATAACTGCAAGGTCTTTGACCAATCCTCCGTGAACACTGAGAAAATGTTCTACATACAGGCTGGGGTCAACCAGTCAATGGATTACTTTATCTTCGATGTCACAAATGGCATTACCTGGCTGCGTCAGTTGATGCTGAAGATTGTTATCATTCCAGAGAAACTTTACATGCACACCAATATCATATCTGTGGTTGAGGGTAAAACGGTGCAGCTGAGCGCTACAGATATACAACCCTATTCCGAGTACTATCGGTCCAAGATTTTGGAGTATATAGTGACGATTACGCCCCATTCGGGATACATTATGGCAGGCACTTCGAAAGTAAAGCGCTTCACTCAAAAACAACTAGAACAGGGAACCATTCAATATGTGCACAATGGAAGTGAAAACTCAACGGATACTATTACCATGGTAGCCTTGGCTAGAAACAAGGAGAGCGTACCGTTTGAGCTGGAGTTTGCCGTAATACCAGTCAACGATGAAGAACCAATGATGGTAACCAACACGGGCTTGCAAGTGTGGAACGGTGGGCGTTATGTGATCAAATATACAGATTTGAGTAAGTGATAAAAACAACATTTTTGAACTATCGTACAATGCTAACCTTCTATCCAACTCTTACAGTGGCTCAGGATTATGATACACCAGCCGAAAATCTTACCTATATGGTACATCACATCTATGGTGGGTACTTGGCCCAGAAATCCGCACCGATGCAAAAAATCGATCACTTCACACAGTCACAGATCAATAATGAACAAATCTACTTCATACACGATGCCAACTCGCGAAAGAATGAGTTATCCTTTGTGGTAACTGATGGTCTGTTCAATACCACAACGCAGCTGCTCAATATAGAAATCAAGCCCATTGAAATAATTCAAGAACGTAATGAGAACTTGCACGTCTTTCCCCTAACGAAGAAGCAAATTTTGCGCGATCACCTGCACTTCAAGTGCTCCGATGAGGAGCGTGAAATACGTTACAATATCACGATGCCACCGACCCGAGGACGCATTATCAATGAGTACTTGGAGCATGGAGGCGGCCATTCGAAGGAGGTCAGCGAATTTACACAGAACGATGTGGACAATGGACACATATTCTATGAACATACGGTTCTGATTATGGAGTTTCGTAGCAACGACTCATTCTATTTTGATGTCTTGGCTGAACGCAGCGATCGTTTGTTGGATCAAAAGTTCAATATCGAAATATCCGTTTCTTCCGGTGGTCTATTGAGATTTTTACCCGTATCTAAACTAAATGTTACGGAGGGTGGTTCAGTGCCCATTAATCTGGATTTCTCCAAAATTCTCGAGTATTTGAAAACACGCGCAGGCATTCATAATCCGGAGTTGTTTATAGAAGCCGTACAAAACCCCACATACGGTCGTATTGGCTTGGGTCACGAGTTCAAGAGCTTGCAGCGATACCATCCGAGTGATTTCTTAACCAAGAAAGTTTACTACATACACGATCATACCGATACGCTTGAGGACACCATACTCATGTCTGTCTATTTAACGCAAGGGTGAGTTAGTAAATCAATTTGTTGAAGTACCACGCTTACATCTTCCTCTCTTCTTAGGAACATTTTTCTGTGTAATCTGACAATTCCAGTTTCGATTCAACCCATCAACGATCAGCCCTTTCAGCTGATAACGCATTTGCCAAAAATGACAGTTGTCGAAGGCGAGAATCGTACCATTACACGCAATGTATTGCTGACTGAAGATAAGGACACGCCGCCAGAGGAAATCATTTACGATGTGATGAGCGGCCCCACGTTGGGCGTGCTTAAAAAATTGAATAACGATGGCCATGCTGAGGAATTGCTGGCCTTCTCGAATCAATTCACGCAGGCGGACATTAACAACGATCGCATCGTTTATGTGCACTTTGGCATGCCACAGTCGACCACATTTTGCTTCACCGTCTCCGACGGTCAATTTAATCCGGCCTATGAAGTCTTTACCATCAAAGTGGCGCCTATAAGTCTGTTGCCAGCTTCCGAACAGCAGTCTGTGAGCGTGCAACAGGGGGCGACAAGTGCACCCATGAAAGTGGAACATATCGGACTGAGCACAAATGTGCAAACTGAACGCTTGTCCTACAACATTACCAACTCCCCACTCTATGGCATAATTGTGTATAAACATCAGCCCACCCTGAGGTTTACACAGCAGCAGCTGGAGACCTCGCAGATCAGTTACATGCAGACGGACCTGAATCGTTCAAATGACACCTTCCAAGTGAGTGCCTATGTGCCCGGCACCAATTACGCCGCCCAAGTTGATGTCGTAATAGCCGTGGAGCCTGTCATTAAAATCAACGACGTCGCCCTGCGCGATGCTGAGTCCAGCACGAGTGCAGCAGGTGGAAAGGTTAGGCTGAGTACCTCGCTGGTCAATGATAATGCTCTCTCTCTGAAGCTGAATAGATTCAATCCGAAATTCGTTATCACTCGCATGCCAGCGACGGGCCAAATTCGCAAGATTATACGCAGCACTGGTCTGACAAATGAGCCGCAGAACGAGCGCTCCACCAACATATTCTCCTACAAGGAGCTCCGTAGTGGTGTCGTCTATTTTGTGCCCAACAAAGCTATCGACGATACAGAAGCGGACACTGATAGCTTCGACTATCAGCTGCTGATTAAGACCGTGCAGCCGGCACAGGCTACTGTGAACATCGAATATCGAACACATGCCGATGAGGCGGAAACTGTTCATCTGGGCAGTACAAACATCTCGATTAACTATTTAGCTGTGGGTTGTGCTCTCTTTATCGTGATCATTTGCATTTTGATTGTGCTGCTTATATTGAAGCTGCGGAAGTTGCGGAAACACAAGGCAAACATATCGAAGGATCAGCCACCTGCCTTACCCTGTCCGCCCGACTTGACTTCGGTTAGTCCACAGCATAATCATCATCATCATCACAACCATCACAGCAATCATTATGCCAGCTCTGAGGCGGACTCTGTGCCCGCTACCGGCAATTCAACGCCCCTGCCGGGCTTCAGCAACATACCCCATTGCAAGATCATACCCGTGGAATCGTATAAGCACGAGTTTCCCGACTACGATCCCGACGAGGACGAGACAGACGATCAGTGCGATCCACAGCAGATTATGCTGCCCCACCGCTACAATCCCTATCAGTTGGAACACGACGCCTGGAGCTCTTCCTGTGACATGCCCAACGATTTTATGGGCTATGCCTCAGTGCCGCAAAGCATATCCGGTTCGGTCAGTTCACCGCCCTCGGCGCCGCCCACGAATCCGCTGCTGCGTCGAAATCAGTATTGGGTCTGAACGCGAGTATACTTGTATGTTGTGTGTGCTTTTGCAGATTAGTTACATAGCTATAACTACATATTTATTAATGATGTGTGTGTACATTTAAGGACTGACTAATGAGATTCGACCGTTAATTTTTAGCGCATTTTTTGACTTCATTACTGGCTACTTAATTAATTGTGACTTATCTGAGCCATAATTATACATACAAACACGAATGCATACATACTACTTATATGTATGTATGTAAGTATGTTTTTGATTTGCCATTTGCAATTTTAGTTTTACAATCTATGAGTTTTACTCAATAGTTTTATACGACTTGGCCAACTTTCAAATTAGGTCTTAGTATTGTGTTTGAAAACATACATTTGAATATTAAATAAATGACAATACTTTTAAGAAAATGTAAATGAATTTTCAATTTAATGCAATATTGGAGCGAATGTTTTTGGGAATAATTTACCTATACATTGTATGTATGTATGTACTAAACATATTTATGTTCAGTTAAACATTTATTTTGCAGTTATCTTATTGACGTCTGCTTTGTGCAGGCTGCGATTCAGCTATTACTTTATTTGAATTCATTGGACTTTTTCAAAAACTTATTTATAATTCTTAATCATTTATTTAAAATTCCCTATAGTTCCCTATATAGTAATTAAACGCTTTCGTCAACAACAAAAGCCCGTTTGACAACAAACAAACATGCGGCTCGAAGCTAAACAAGCCAACAGGTGTCGCAATCGCAACAGCTGATTCGAACTTTTGTCGTGAACCGCACCAGTTCCGATAAATGCCGCACGTGAACTATCGAATCACTTCATAATTCAAGTTTAACTAGATTTAACGGTAGATTTTATATTTTCGTATTTTTAGTCAATCTTTTTCTTCTTTGTTACAGATAAATTATAGGTGAATGTGTTTCCCAAAACAACTATGCACCAACTCTAAATTTGTTTATAGCCTCATTTCAGAGTCAAACGAATTTATTGGCGCGCAATATTGGAAAACGCAATATTTCAAACGGCTTGATCAAAAAAACAGCTGCCTTCAGCTAAAATCTAGTTGGTATAGCGCTGGCCTTTTGATTTGAACCTTTGTCTGCGATATCTAGTGGCATTTAAAAACGTTGATTTAATTTACATTTTGGTCAATTTTACTAACTACTTGTATTACTTTTGTTCCAGCAAAAATTCGCATTACATTTGATATTTAAAAAGAAAAACTAGATAGGGGGTACAACTGTAGTACTATACAAATAACATTTAAATAAAAAGATAATCAGCATAAATATTTAAAAAATAAGTGACCTATGATGCTTCAATTTCATAATACTATCAGATAAAGCCACGGGCGCTGATAAACGGCGTATCTCTATCTAAGATGGCGAAGAACTCACTCAACTTGAAACTATAACGTTATTAATCCCTGCAGTAGAAACAAATCTTTATTATCGATCAAAAGATGTTTATTATAAAACACTTGTGTGAACGTACATCTGACGCATAAGGGAATACCGCATCTAATCAATTAAATATATGATCAGTAAATATTTATATGACTCAGAAGCATTTCGGTCATCAACTGGCCCTCGCACTCAGCAGGAGATCCTCACTCGATCCAATCATAATGCATGCCAGACACATTCCTTTTAAATCTTTTTAATAGTAAATACAATATAAGAGTACATATATCTAATTTTTGCTGCCATCAATATCAGGTAATGACATTTTCTTGCCAAAAATAAAAGTTATAAAATATCACTAGTTTCAATGTGATGCACACTTTAACCAAATTATCGTTGCACTTCCATGGATGTGTGCCCGTCTGTATATGTTTCCATAGCGTGTCCAATTCCGCGTCTCATATGCCACTATATATAGCTTTAAGTACACAAATAAATACAAGTATATATCGATATCCGTAAGCAGGCTGCCTTTAAAAGGCCGCCGTTGTGACGGTCGGTTTCTCTGAAACTGGCGTCACAACCATGGCCTGATTATCGTACGAGTACTCGGTGACCAGTGTTGTTGGTGTTGTGCTGTTCTCGGCCGGATAGCGTGTGCTAACCGGGGTTGTCATGGTCAGCACCGAACCCTCGGCAGCGCCTGCAATAAATCAAAACAAACATAGTAAGTGCGGATATTTAGACATCAATGGAAGGAGGAAGGCTGGGAGCGCAGGTAGCAGAATGCAGAATGCAGGATTCAGACTTACCTGCAACGCTATACATTGTGGACGGTTCTCGCTCTATGTCCCGGTTAATGGCATTGATATTCTGTATGGTGGTGGCATTAAGATCCTTACCATTGGCCGTCACATGGTTCGGCTGTTGGCGTTGCTGTTTCGGTTGCAGTTTCTTCAGCAACTGGGGCACGCAGCGCGTGTGGCGCAACCAGCGCGCAAATTTAAGCAAATAACGAATGACAACCAGTGCCAGCAATATAATCAGCAGCAACAATATCAGATTCTGTGTAGTCTGAATGTTTTGTATTTCGGCTTTCAATGGCTCGTATTTCTTGTAATCTAAAATATATAGGAAATTTTCAAAAGATTAAACGCAAGTCTTAATCTTTGCTCTCGGCAGAGCTAAGCAATTTATGAAAACTAATACTTAATTGCTGAGAAATCCCAACGCTGAGCAAACAACTTGAAAAGCACAAAACATTAATTATGGCTAGTACAAGTACTTGTATAGAAAAGAAACAACAAATTGCTTGTGCATTGTGCAAAACTATACAAATGATGTAATCGCACACAATTTTTGTAACTTAGCCAACTTGAAAATCGTGTGGCAGAAAAGCTAGACACAAATAACGAAGCATAAAATGTCGTCATTTTATTTTATTTGTTAATAAAACGATAGTTTAGTAAATGAATTGCAAATGCAGACACAGTGCTTAACTTTAGCTAACAACAATTTCCTAACTGATCCCCAAATTACATCTTTCTTAGTCTGTTAACAAAGTTATATCTTGATCGAATGAATGTTTTGTTATTGCAAAAAAATGCAAGCATTCCCCTTACTCACAACTGTTTGATATTTAGTTATGCATATAGTATTAATTACTTGCTGGGGTTCAAAATGCACTCTTCTAGGAACCAATATAGTGACAAATATTTGCTTTACTTTTTCAATTACAGTACACTGCATCGTAGTAAAAAAAAAATAAGTTATTTGCGTAAGGAAGTGATTTACGAAAATCTGATTAAGCAGTTTGAAAACATACTTGTATGACTAAATAATGTAATAGATTTAAGATAAGATAAGATCTGGACTGGTCTTTAATTTAAGGAATTATCTACTGTAATCGAAGTTCAAGCATTTCTCTAAATTATTATTTTTGGTGCATTTCTGGAGTTTCTGCTTAACTTGTTAGCCTATATATATTTGAAGTTTTTTTTTAGTAATTTAAATAACATTTTTAAATGTTGTAAGCACATATCCATTATTTAAAAAACCAATTTCAGCATTACCCAACAAACTATTATTGCTCATGTTTCTAACGCTCATAGATGTGTTCCTAACTTAAGGGGGGAGTTTTCTTTCCAACCATTTCAATTCTTGTAAATATAAAGAAAAATATTTCTATTTAATCTGGAAAGAAATCTTTAATTCCAATAAGTTGCGAGTAAGATATCTTCTCGAAACAACTACCTTCTAAAGATTTCGCAGTATTTTTATTTGTATGGTCTTTCACGCCTAAAAGTCTGCAACTCTCAAAATGTATTGAAAGAAAACATAAATCCAAAGATTAGATTATGGTGTTTAGAGGAGACACCAAAAAATTAAAAATTTAATTAAATAATGCACGATGCATTTAAAAAATAATGTATGCATATGATAAATGAAAAAACTTCAACAAATCCAACTGCTCTTGTGCCCCAAAAAAGCCCCAATAATTCAGCCTCCAAGAAAATATTTAAAAGACCAAGTATGCAACTTTCTTTGTATTCTTTTATTGATTTTAGAAACCAAGTCGATCGGTTGCAAAATGAGGATTTTTCAAACAAACTTTGAAGCTATTTTTCCCCCCCTTGGAGCTCGAATTTTCCAAAATCCCTTCTTAATGCGCACCTACACTATGATAGGATACTTGAGCCCAAATTTGTCGATCACCAATCAGTCAGCTACATATCTGAATACAATATCTAGTAGAAAAAAGATATTTAACAAAAATTAATTTTATTTATTAATTATTTTATTATTATTTTTATTAATTAATTTATTTCAAAATGAAATAGCTGAAACTGTCTTTCTCTAAAATTTCGAATAACCATAGCGTTCTAGACACAACACAAGTACAGCGACTGCTTATATTGGCAGCTTTATCTTCTTGAACGATCTACCCAGTTAGTGGTAGCAGAATAACAAACTAACCTGCACATTCCTTGGCGCACGTATCGGCCTGATAGTTGTGGGAAGCATCGTCGCATATGGAGGCGCAGGCGACACAGTTCTCCGTGAACGGAGAGCAGTATTCGTCCCCCCGGCACACCTTGCCGTGGCAGTCCTTGGCATCAGCCGCCTTAAACAGCGAGAAGCTGGGCAGTAGGGTGGCGCCAATTGAGAGCGCCAAGTTACGCATTTCTTTGGGGGGCATTCGTAGGATGCAAAAATATTTATATACTGGTAGTATGTGTGACGTTATTTGTAGTTGAAAATGTATTTGTTATTGTTGTTATTGTTCTGTAGTAGTTGTTGCACTTTCTACATAACGTTTATTTGTAACGAATACATGTATTTGCCTTAACTTTTAAGAATTGCAGCTGAAATTATTATTTTATGGATCGCGGCACGTTGGGTGCTATGAATCATTGCTCTGCCGCTGCTGTTGACTTCTTTTTTAATTGTTACTGGATTTTTTATGAGCGCCAAGCTTCAGTCTGCATACAAGTGCGAGTGTGTGTGTGTGTTTATAAAGTTATGCTTGTGTGTGTTAAACGGGTTTTGCTTGCCACATTCCAGCACTTTTTGTAACTTTGTAATGCTTAACAATTTCCCTTTATACTAAGTATATACTTGTATGAAAAGGCACTTTTCACATTATTATTTTTGATATACAATTTGTAATTATCGACAATTCACGCACTTTTTAAATAGTTGGCTGACACACACACACAATGACTTTGTGAGTAACTCGGATTCTTCCGTCCAGACACTATAAACAAAAAGCCGTCGACTCGCTCTGAGCCACACTCAGCGCGTTACTGAAAAAAACCTCGATCGCTCACGCCGTTGTGTTACCAACTGATGAAACGCTCAAGCGCTTTGACTCTGACACACACACACACACAGAGAGATACATATATGCATATGTATCTATGTGTGGAGGAACACACACACATCGATAGAGTTTGCAAAACGCACTCAGCGCCCGCTGGTGTATGACTTGACTTTTGTTTATTTTGTTTGACGATCTTCACACACTTGTGGAACGCTCAGCGCTATTTGCTTATATGTATTCGAAAGTATCATGTATCTGGTAGGCAGGTAACTGATTTCTCTACTAATACGGACTCTCTACACACTCTCTACCTCTACTCGTGTGAGTGGCAGACTGTAGCCGACACTTTGAACCCGGCTTTGTTGTTCTGGGCCTGTCGATTAAAGGCTGTATTTGTTAAAAGCAATCGGAGATTTGTAAGTACGGGTAAACAGCCTAAAGCTAATATTTTCAAAAACAATATAAATCGATACACTTTCTCAAAATAGTTCATTTGTAGCGACATATTCTTCATTTTTCTGCAGATTCGATATTGTGTTTCTGTCTGAAATAAATGATATTTTTTGATGCTGGCAGATATGTAAATGTATATCAAGTTTTGAAATCATTTTTCGCTTGTTCTCTCTCTCTTAATTTTTAAGCATTTAAATTATACTATCAAGTCTTAAATCCTTTCAGTAGCCAATTAAAAAGTCATAAGGTTTGTTAATAGACTTGTATCTTTTAAAGAAGGGGACTTATTTCAAATATTTTGCGTTGCTTCTGTATTTAACAGAAATTGAAAATTGTATGCTTTTGTTTGTGCTCCCAAATGATTTAAGAATTTATTTAATTCGCTGTTCATCTTTTAATAACATTATTGAGCAGTAAGTGCGTTTTATTTCTAAATATGTATAGTAACCTAGCATGTAGATATCTGACGCATAAATGTTCAAAATTGTAAAAATAACAAACAAAACACTTTTAATATTAAATTAAATTTAATATAAGAATTCTTAAAACACACAATTAACGGCCCGCATTGATTTCGTTTTTAAACTCTACAAGAAATATAGAAAAGTATATTAGGTTTTCGGGAGGTGAAAAATGTTTTTTTTTTTTCAAATTTGACACTTTTTGTAAGAGGGGTATCTCTATCTCTTAAGAATAGAATAGAATATCAAGAATATATACAAGTATACTTTATGGGGTCGGAGGGAGTTCTTTTTCTCTGTTTTTTACTTTGCATAAACCTGATAAAGTGTATAGAGGGATAAAAAACCATTAAAGTTATCAAAATAGCCCGAATCAAAAAAATGAACTGCACAAATATACTATACATATGTATGTAGGTGTGGGAAAAAGTTCACAGCACTTCATGGCTAAAACCTTATTACAAACTTAATCCAGAAATAACAGGTAAATAAATACAGCTCTCCTAGCCAGAAGCGAATTTAAGCTAAATGTCTAATCTCAATAAATCAGATGAGCTCTATATGCAGAAATTCCTGGTGACACATTACTAAAAAGAAAAGACAAAGAGATAATTCCAAGGTCGACATATGATTTCATAGCTGATAAGAAAGAAGTCTGCACATTAAGTTCTTCCGTTATTGTTTTCGAGTATCTGTTATTTCCGACAGCTCAGTTATCTCCAGTTTATAAAAATTTATATAAATAAATGTAAACACTCAATTGAGATTAACCGCTTGGCAGAGAAGCGTGGAGGCGGAGGGCAGAAGAACAAAATACACACAACTCAAAAAAACATGTGGAATTCCTGCTAACGCGTTACTTTTTGTGAAATGATTGCTGTTGTTGTTATTGTTGCTCTGCGAAAACCTGTTTTGAGTTGATAATAAAGAGAAACTTGGTGCAAGACTTGACTTGAGTTGGTCGAAAGCTTGACTAAACAGCTCCAGCAATTGCATGAACCATAAAAATACAGCAAACTCAGAAGCAATTCAATTTAAATTAAATTTGATAAATTTGCTATGGCAGCGCAATTGAGTTTATTTAGTGAGTGATTATATTTACAAGTCGTGTGGATTTGATTTTATTTTATAGATAGGGCAGTTAAATTCAAAATCAAGACAGGCAAAAATTCAAATTAATTTTCTACTACTTGGCAGCACTGCGCAACAGCAACATTCCTTCCACGCTTCCAGTCGCTCTCGCGTGCTCTCTCTCTCTCTCTCTCTTTTGTTCATTCCACTGCACACACAACACATAGGTGTGTGTGTTTCTAGCTGCTTCGCTGCATTTGTTTTGTTGTTGTTTGGTTGTAGTGGTGGTGGTGGTGGTGGTGGTGGCGGTGTTGCTATTGCCTGTATGGTTTGGCCAGCCAAGCCACATTCGTTGAGCGGCTTTCGCTGTTGAATGAGCTGCGAACGCGTGAACGTCAATTGAATTTTGAACGGAAACAGAACGCGTCCGCTCTGCTAATTAAAATCGAGTGCGTTCTTCGGCATCTATCCAGCAGATACAACCAAATTGCAGCTGCCACAACTTACAGCAACAACAGTGGCATGTGCGCCTGCATGTGTGTGTATGTGCGTGAAATCTATAAATACTTCTTATTTGCGGCCTCTGCGACCACAAAAAAGCCGTGAAAGTGAAATGTTGTGACCAGAGTATCTGTTAAATACAATTTAATTGCTTCAATAGAGCTCAGAAAACACGACGCAAATTAATGAAAATTTGAAAACCTACTTACAAACGTGCTATTTTTTGTTGTTCATACTTTCGGAACATTTTTATCTCACCGCCGTGTTTTCATGCCTCGTTCGCATTTGTTTTTGTTATTGTTCTTTTTGTTGGTGCTGCTCTGGCCTGAGAGCCGCCGCCGCAGCCACCCCCCCTTATATAGTCGTCGGCCATTCAGCCTCAACAAGTAATTCAAAACGTTGCCGCTCGGCTTCGTTGAACTGGAAGGCGCGGCATGCAGCATTTTAAATACAAGAACAGCCCAACGACGTCCTTGAGCTCATAATTTATACACCTGTTTAAGCGCTCAACTGTAAAACAACAACAACAACGTGAACACGCACTTTTGTTTTTGTCGCAAAAACCGGGAAAAATAAAATCCAAAAATGAATAATTTCACAACAACAACAGCCACTCCAGCAACTAAGGAAGCGCTGCCCAGAACGGGACACGTTACTGAAGGTTAGTTCAGATTATGCACAGATTTTGGCAACAAATATCCGAGGCTCGTTAGATGAAAAATAAGAAGAGGTTCAAGGTGAAGGTGATTTATTTTATTTTGAATAGCGTATTATAGACATGTTAGTGCTAGTGGAAAAACTCAACTACTTTCTATACTGCTTATCAATAAGAAAACCTCTTGAAGAGGTAAGCGAGTTCGCAGAGCTACTCAACAAATTTTTGAGAGAGCGATATAACTAACTCTCTTGAATTATATTATGTATGATAAATCCAGTGGTAAGTTGGTAGCTTAATAAAATATTAAAGAACGTTTCATTTCTCTTGAAATATAAATAAACGGAGAAATTGCACATCGAGTGGAACGAATTACGATCTGCGTAGCCAATCAAGCGCTACAAATAAGTTGCCGTACATAGTAATATTCATTACACCCAGAGAGTAAATGGGCATACTAGTTTAGTGCGAAGAAATCGTGAGACTCCACAAAGTTTATGCATGGAAAGTCAAGATATATCCATGCCTACGTCCGTCTGTATGTACGCTAAAATTTCGGAAAGTATAAGAGCCAGAATTAGCAAACTTGGTACCCAGCTTCGCCTAGATATGATAAGGCACAAGTTCGTTCGATACAACCCCTCACTCCCCCAAAAGTGATATTTTCATTAATATAACAATGCATGAAACTGCTTGCCCAAATATAACCTTAGCAGCCTGTATGCAGCTGACAAAACAGCCATAGCAATAGTTAACCTTATATAGTTTTTAAAACCTTTTTATTTGATCCATATAGAAATTCAAGAAAAGTAATCAGTGTTGTTTTTGGTCTCTTTAGATCAACGAGAACACTAAGTACTTTTAAAACTACTCTTCCTAATGAGTCTTACAATAATAGCCTTTCAACATAATCTTTTCAAAGAACTTCTAACATAAACAACCTGGCAAATCTTTCAAAAGAGAGAAGCCGGCTTATGCTAATTTAATTTTGATTTATTTCCTTAAGAATCATAAAGTGGCAGAGCTTTTATTTGCTTCTTCCTAATATTTACTTAAAAAATTGCTCCGACATTTTTAATTAAAAACCACTGATTTATTATTGTAGTGTCCATTGTTTAATAACTCAGAAAAGCGAATTTTTTGTTTAAACAAGAACAACTAAAGATTATTACTAAACAACCGCATGTCAACCGCAAAATATTCTTTTATGTAACCGCCTTGGGCAATGTGATTCACACTCGCACAATACTCGAAGGTATATAGATAAACTATAGCCAGACTTGGCCAAAACTGATGGAAAGGTATTGACTAAGAGCATGAGGCAAAGTATGAGGCGAATATGCAAATTTTGCAGCTCAATTGGAAGACAATGGAAGCCCAAAACGATACACACAAAGACTGCATTCAATGGCTCTGCTTAATTAGAAATTACGACATACACGTAAATGAGAAAAGAAATTTGTTGTCCAAATTGAGAGTGTCTGACACGCCAGGCAACTCTTGTATGCTAATGAAGAATATTGGATGAAGAGGGCAACAGCAGCAGCGACTGATTGCGGTTTTTTTTAACAACAACTTTCACAGACAAAGAGGGGGGAGAGGAGGGAGACAGGTGTAGCCATTTGGCAAGCAACTATGGGGCACATCTCCATAGTCATGCTATGCTACAAAACTTGGCCTGCAATTTAGTTTGAAAGTTTGCTTGTGCTCGTATACTCTACACAATAGAAAGGGCAAGAGGGTGTTTTAATTTGAGTCAGACTGTATGTGAATTGGAAAACTCAGGCTTTGCGATTAGTACAAAGCTTTAAGAAGGGAACTATAACCTGTATTGTTATTTTTAGCAAACATCTGTTGGTAAGAGTATGATATTGGAACTGAGCTTAATTTAGGCACGCCTCTCTTATGCCTTCTATGGGTTAAATCATCCTAATACAGCAGCTTGGTTTGAATTGGTCTACCATAAGTCTAACCAACTGTTCGAGTGTATGAACGTCGACAGCTTTTTAATGACAGATGTTGGAGACAAAAAACTTTGTCATGTAGGTTCTAGTAATTCATATATAGTTTCTAATTTATAATTCTGCGTTACAGATGTGATTGTTGATAATATTTGATAATTAAAACGCATTATTAATAGAATATTCTTGAGTTTGATAACAAGATATTGAATACAAGCACATGTTAAAGCTTGCTGCTTGCTTTAGAGATGATCTTCAAAAAAAATACCTACATACATCTGATAATATGGTTAAGAGTTTTCCCATTGTTCTAGCAGAGTATTAGTTTGGATCATAACCATTTGTTCAAATATTGTTTTAATATTCTAAATAAGAAGTTTTTAGTTGCATTAAAAGTTTTTAATATTTTTTAAAATTTATAAACCTTTTTTGTTTGAAGCAAATTAGATATTGGAAACCCTGCTCTGATATTGAAGTAAGCGTTGAGTTTCGTTTCTTTCCCTCAGCATTATAAATACTTATGTATATGCCAACTGGATAGAGAGTATTTCATAGTCATTTGCGAGCAACTTTAACTTTCCCACTCGTTTTCTCTGAAATGATAAACAAAAGGCAGACGCTCGGCATCAGCCACTATAATAACAGCAACAACAACAACTACTGACAACATCTAACAACAACCGAACACTAAATTAAAAACATCTACATCAAAAACAAAAAGCTGACAGCATGTGAAGAAGAAATTTCAGTTGAAAATAAACAAATGCTGGTAGGAATAGCTGACTCCAAACAGAGCTCCAAGCGAGCGAACAGAAAGGGAAAATTTTTACAGCACTTGAGGTGCAAAAAATATAAGAGTAGAAAAAAAGTGATACCGCAGGCACTTTCCATTTAATGAGCGGCTGCCAAGCAAAAGTAAGAAAGAAATAAAAAGGTAAGGCGCGTGCAGCTTTGTGTATCTTTAAGATACGAGTATGCGTTTGAGTTCGCAAAACTGCAACAGCTGACGAGCCAGTGAGTGGCAATGGGGTTAGCTGACGAGTTGGCTGGTTCAGTCAGCCTGGCTGCTTCATTTGTTGCCAAGCATGCATAACAAAAGACCCCCACAAAGGCAGCCAGGCTGGCAGGCTGGCACTCAAATGCTGGCCTCTTTTTGCATCGCCTGATGTTTGACTGACAAACTGCTGCAGCGGGAAGGGGGCAGGGGAGTGCTGTTGTGGGGACAAACATTCAGCAGCTGCATGACGAGGCTGCCTTGCAACTTTGCGACTCCGCAAGTTTGTTTCACTTATTATACATACATTCTGTGGCACGGCATGATTCACTTGTCGGCTCGGCGACAGGATGTGCCGAACACTCCACACTAACATGCTCATAGAGATGATGATGATGAAGATGAAGAAGATGATGATGAAGATGAAGAAGATGATGATGAAGATGAAGAAGATGATGATGAAGATGACGATGCCTCATGCAGTGCATCGTTTTAGTGGCACAATGGCTACGCACTTTGATAGAACAAAGCTGGCGAGGCTACTGGCCTGCTACTACTACTACTACAGTAATACCTGCACATGAGAGGATAATGCTCTCATTTTATTAAGACTATAACATTTTAATACAGTTTTTGTCGACTATTGTAAGGGACTTAATGTTTCCACAATTTTAATGCCATCATGCCATTGCATAAAAGTTTTCATAATGCTAAGTTTTCGAACTCTTTTATATGTTGAAGTATTTACTGACATACCTGTTAATATAATAATAAAATAAAATAATTTCTTGAATAAATTCAAGTTAAAATCAGACCAGTTCCAATAACGGAAGAATCTGTAGGTGCTCCTCAAATAAAAACATTTTTCAACTTTACTCAAAGAAAATAAATCCTAATATTTGGAATTCATTAACGATCTAGAATAAAATACCAAACCCAATTTGGTAGAAAAATTATGTAAAACATCGATACATCAGCGATGCTCTTCAATCGCTCCTATTTGTCAACTTAATAAAAAAAACCATTAACTCATAATTATACTTTTGAAATAATAAATATACTCGATAAAATCCGTATAACTGAAACATTTTTCATTATTCGTTGTTACAAGAATAAAATTGTCACTATTTATTGTTCTCTGACGACGTCAGTGTAAAGGAGTAGTTCTGATGAAGAAGAAAACAAATTTCTTGTGATTATTTAATTATTAACTAAGTTCGTTTCAGCACTTTGTAGATCATGATCATGCATACTTGTTAACTATTATATGGCCCTTTTTTACCCATTACTGGTCTGTAATTTCGTTTAAGATTTAACTTCTCATGTGATTTGATTCCCAACACTTCATTTTCAAGCTATAGAGAACTGCCAGCTCGTGGTCCATAATGAAGAATCAGACCTTAATCAAAGTAATTTAGAGGATAGCTGAACTAGGGCTGTAAAATATTTGATACTTACGATCAACAGGGATTACATTAGATTAAATACCCCTATTTGCTTGATCAGTAGTTATTACAGTATTATTATTACTTCTATCTTTACCTCTTTAAGCTGGAGCTATTACTATAGATATTATAAACAGATCGAAGCTTAAATAATTTCACTTTTTTTTTTTTTAGCGATTTTCTCAGTAACAAAATCAATTAACCACTAACTGAACAAAATTAAATTTGATTGTCACATTCAAGTTATGGTTTCAAGTATGCATTTGACTTTATACGATTAATTAATTTTTCAAAAACAAATACACCTTCGGCAATAATGTTAAAAATCGTTTCTGAATCTATTCTTTATGCTGCTCTAGCTTGGACATGCTTAAGTGAGGCCAGATTGTCGAATATTAAATCGTTCACCATAACCTTTGGGTCTTCGTTTTCAATTTTGTTACTGGTTTTGAAAATAGGAAGACATTTTTGATAGGCCAGCAAAATGCATTTAACACTCAGCTAAGAGATACTATAGTTGAGTTACAAATAAAGTAATCCAGCATGGGGAGCGAAAGTAAGAAGGTTCGGAACGCTTTTGGCTGAGTTGAAAAGTATCTAGGATAT